ACCTTAGTCCTCATACTCATCTTTGTTACCTAGCCAAAATACAGGGACTTGTAAGCAATCAGCCACCCCTCAGTACTGGGCACTGCAGCTGGAGCACTGATTGAAGGATGCTGTAGTAGGCATGCATTTGCATAAGTCACTGCATCATAGTTCAGATCCTGGTAAACCAACATTATTCCCTGTTCTCCTGTTATTTCCAGTGTGAAAATATTTCAGTCTAATTTCAGTTAAATAGAGTACTTTCGGAGAGTTAGCTTAATTCTTGCATTCACATAAGACCATAATAAAGAATTGTTAAGGAACTATTCACTCATTTGTCCTGCTGAGCATAATTGTCCTTTTCATCCCCTTTTGCTCAACTAAGTCACAAATTAAAAAAAATTCTAATTGCAAAATAAAGGCTACTTCAAAAACACCCTGTGTTAAGGAGCCAGCATCAGAGCACATGAACCACTTCTTTCCAACATAAAAGAAATCCTACTAGGTGGGCTGTTTTATTCAAAGAATAGTTAAGTTTTAAACTACAGCAAAAGAAAAAGTTGTAGCACCAATACCGTTTTCATATCTTAACAGAATTTCTTTATTGGTGGAGTTAAAAATTAAATGTAGAAATTAACAGCTAAACAAGTTAAAAACCTTTACAGCAACCCAGAAGCTGCTAATTAAAGCAGAATTATATTACTCTGTCACTGCCAACAGTGCATAATTAAGATCTGAAACTCCTTGGCACATAGCTCTGCAGATGCTAAGTTTACATGAGAGCAGAAAGCAGTGAGGTAAACTTGCTGAAGAAAAGCCTTTCAAGCCCTGGAAAATGCAGAACTCCTAGGGTCACAGCTTGCTGTAGGCTGGGAAAAGCATCACGGGAGAAGTATTGCTACACGCCTGCACCATCTGTATGGCCCTCCGGGCTGTTGGAAGCTGTCAGGATATTATGATAGACAGCTCTCTCATTAAGCTAGCACTGATGTAAAGGCACCCAAGTACAAATAAATACTCAATTAATATATGTTCTGGTACCACGGAACTCTAGAAGCATGTAGGAGTCAAGCACATAAATCATAAAAGAGAAGTCTAAATGCTAACATGCTATCTAAATAACATATAGATCTGATCCTAACCACGCTTAAGTTAAAAAAAGTACCAATGCAGAATTTTCATAAAGTTTGAACAAGATGCATGAAAAGATTTGTTTTTTCCCTAGAAAGATACATGCCTCCTGTCTTAGAAGATAGGAAGGAATTTTTTACTACAAATCTAGCCTGGTTAGAAAGTAGGGTGAACAAACTGTGTAGTATATAGAATTAGAGACTCATATTAGGAAAAAATATCAATTTAAAATAAAAACAATTACTGCATCTTATTATCAACACCACTGAAATTAACTAACCAAGTCAGAAATCAACCCTTCACACATACCTCTCCCTCAGTTTTTCCTTGCACAGTCTATCTGGATCCCTTAAGTACATATAACAAAGCAATACAATACACAAATAACTCAGTAAGAAAAACCTTTAAGCCACAACATATTTCTCAAACCAAACGCAAAATCAAGAAAGATCTAAATGTTCTGCAGCTATATAAAATGAAAGCTTCCTTCAGCATTACTGTATTGAAATGAACTTATGATTACTCAATTAATTCTTTTGCAGAATTAACTTTTCTTCACTTCAGAGACAACAGCGGTGTGAGAAGATGTCCAGCTGGTTGAAAGAAGCCACACATTTCTAGCTCTCATCTTCCAAATTAAAATAATTTTTGCAGAAGGGTATTTTTATTTAATACAGGAAAAAAGAAGCATTTTTGTACCTTTCCATGCAGATGGAGACAAAATCTTCCCAATCCAAACAAAATAACAGATCCTGGCACTTTTGTCATCTAAGCCATGCAAAGACACACTGAAATACCGAAATTACAAGATGACCTCATAACTTTAGTGAGGCACTGATGTCTGCAGGCCTTTTTCCTCAAAACAGCTTTAAAATAAAGGCTTAGATGAATTGACATTGTAAGTATACTCTGTTTAATGCGCTTTTCCAAGACTAATTTATATTTACTATGAAAACAGACCAGCATGTATCTTTTGCATACACCATTCCTGTTTAATGCTGACAGTATTAAGCCAACTCTTTAGAAAGAGCAGCCAGATTTTTATTGGTCATATTTGCTAATCTATCACAGTAAGGCTCTCCTCACTCTTCTCAATAACATATTTAAAATATTTCAGTTGCTTTTTCCATATTACAACATCCTAATTCATGTCTTAACAAAGATGTTATTTATTACGATTGCCTAGGATAACCACATTATTTTAATTCCTGTTAAAAGATACCTTCTTGTGGTGGGGAAAAAAGAAAAACTAAATTGTGCTGTGGTTTACGCATACAACAACTATTCAATGTTTCATGGTATCTGTCCACAAGCACAATGTTTTCTTTTTTAATTTCTAAACTGGTAAAGAATTGTCATGCATTACCTGAGATTTCATCTCATAAAGCGTAGCATCCTCTGGAGTTAACTGAAGCGCTTCATCCCACTTGTGAATAGCCTCTCGGTACCTGCAGTTAAAACAATATTGCAGTCTCACTGTATTTAAAGGTATTAGATATTTTTATTATATCCTGATATTGTCCTAAATAGAGTGCCATGGCATCTTATTATTAATGGTTTTTCTATCCACTCCTCTATAAGACATGCTGAGTAGCAGAAGGTCTGAGTAGTTCTGAGTAGTAGAAGGTCACGGTTTTGTTCAAGACCCAACACAGACCATAGCACAACAAAACCCACATGAGCAAGGGAAGTCCTCAGCTCAGGTGGTGTCCTGGCCATGCAGCAAGGTGCAATATTGTGAGAACAGGGTAAAAAAGGTTTTGGAAAAGAGAGCAAATACAGTAACAACATCAGTAACCAGAAAGGAAAGACCACCACTAACATTCTGCAAACAGAAAAATATGATAAAAGTTGCATTCCAGGAATCTTCATTTTTACTTCCATGGAGAGGATATAATTGTTCAAAGCGTCAATCCGCATGGGATAAAAATTCATGGCAAGAACACGCTACCTCTGAAGAGATCACCAAATACAAGGAAATACTCCCTCAAATCCTGTTGGGTTTTGCTGCCAATTTGTCAACAGTCTGCCAACAGAATAAAGATGGGCAAGGGAAAAGAGGTTGTCCATTCACAGAAATGCTGTGCTACATGATCTGTGCATGAACAGAAGTTACACAACTCTGCCTGTGAGCCTCAAAGAGCACAATCCAAGAGAAGTGATGGCAAAATGCTGGAATCACTTCCCAGAACCAAGAGCACAACAGAAGAGGGCTGAAGAATGAAAATTCATCTGCAGGCACATGCTGAACCCCTGCTCAAAAAGGCTGACTGCTGCTGACTACCAGTTTACAGTGTGGAGATATCCACACGGCTGTGAAATATTAGTCTTTTCAGCGCATATATTTCCTTAAGAAGCAAGTCTGGTAAAACATGACTGTTCTGTTCCTTTAAATACTCAGGAAAAAAGATGTTTTCATTGTTGTTCTAGGAAAAAACTAAGGATATTGTTGTTATTAAAAGAAACTGAGCCATGTTGCTTGCTCTAGTAATGCAAATTTAAGAAAAAATTCCTTTCTATAAAGCATATTAATCAAAGAATTTTGTAACTCATTCTTTTAAGGGAAACTATTACACATTGTATTAAATACCAAATGCCTTACTGAAAATGTTGCCTGGGGATATAAGATACAGTTGTAAAGCAAGTGTTCCAGTAGATGTTTTAAGAAAACCATAAACCTTAGCTGAAATAAGTGAGCTAACAGAGTAGTGTCATAAAATAAATAATTAAATAATAGACCATTTTACTGTCTCTCAGTATCCTTTTGAGCTGAACTATACAGAACCTTTACTATTATAAAGAGAGAGAACTAGTTTTGAAAACTTCAATAGGACATCTGCTTTCAGTTTAATTAACACAAATTTAATGCACATTCCATTTGCTATCCCACTTTCTTTTCTTAGCAAGTAAATAAGCTCACATGCAGTTGAGTGAAAAGCAGGCAACAAGCATTTATGCATTAGCTGAGCTGCAAAAACTGCCATGTCATGGCTGGCAAAAGTGAAATAAATTTTAGCTGAATACTGTTCCACTGAGGTCTACTTGAATTTCTTCCCATATGCATCATGTGGAAAGAGAGCACACGTGTGTACAACATGTACTATGGCACAGCTGCTGAGCAGTAACATGCATCTGAATGTTCTGTCTCTTCAGAAAAAGGGAAATGAAACCTAGAACTTCAAAAATTAAAATAACTCGTATCAAAAATAATGTCTCAGAAACAAGAATGGGACTCAAAAACTGCAGATCCATCCACTGGAGATGCTATAAAACCTCTTCAAAAGTCTCTGATATTAATCAAAATGCAGATTAATCCCAAGCACCAGTTGGCTGGGGGCCTACTGACTGAAAAGTTGCTTTGCAGATAAAAGATCTGGGGAAGAGGTTGTTACGTACAAGCCAGCAATATGCCCTTGCAGCTTTGAAGCCCAACAGCATCCTGGGCTGCCTGAGCATCCCCAGCAGACAGAGATCTAGACAGATCTACCTCAGCACCTGCAGCACTGGGTCCATACTGAGGCACAGAACATTCTGTTTAAACAGTCTCCATCCTTGGAGATACCCAAAACACAGCTGGACAATGTCCTAAGCAACTTGCTCTAGCTGACTTTGCTTTGAGCAGGAGTTAGAGTAGAAGATCTTCTGGTGTTCCTTATGATGATAAAATACTATGACATCAGCAACCTCAGTGGCACATGATTTAAGATGAAATATGGCTATCTCTTGGCTAAATGAAAACAAATTTTAAGCAAAACATAATCTTACAACAAATAGAACCAATCATTTTTAGATGTCTGGGATTACTATAAAAAAAACCTCACCTAATGTAGCAGTAAAGAAGTCACAGAATATTAATAATGGACATATCTTGATTTTATAGAATATAAAATTAAAATTTCCAGTAATCTGTACATATATTGTAGTAACTAAACATCTAAACCTCAGTAACATAAAGCATTTTAAAAAGACTATATTTTGAAGCATTGATTTGAGTATAAAGTATACTTAATTTTATATACCCACAGTGATTCCAGCAAAATAGTACACCTCGCTACAAAAAAATGCACAACCATAACCAGAACTTAATTAAAATGTTCTCTTCTTTATTGCAATGTCATAAAAAGGAATAAATTACTGAGAGCTGGATACATCTGGGATGGCTTCAGTGTAAAAGATTTGATGGATCTTGCCAATTTTTATTTAACAGCATAAGAAATCCCGTAGCTCCCTTGAAATACTAAAACTGTTCTCATCAGACGTGCTACTGACCATCTGGGAGCTATACAGACACATTTTACTACAGCTTGCTAAACTTTTGAAACAAATATCTCATGCTTACACTTCACCTTTTCAACACCGCTTCTGGGAAAACAGGATCTCTTGAACTCTTAAGCAAAATCATTAAAACAAATTTGAATTTCCATTAAAAACTTAACTGATGGCTTCTGGGTAAAAAAAAAACCACAACAAACTCTGTTCAAATTACACAGTTTTTTTAAAGCATACAGATAATGCTAAAAACCATCACTGCAGATCACGCAGGAGCTAGAGTCCTGTGGCTTTACTCCAACAGGCTCACCACAGTTGATGCTCCAGGAGCAGAACGAGACAGGGCATGCTCAGATCACAGCAGTACAATGTCAGGAGAAGGCATGATGCAAAGTAACTCCTGGGAGCTCTTAGAGACTTGATCAACAATCAGGTCTTACAGGAGGATGAAGAAAAACATGGTGAGAGAGAGCTAAGGAAGGGACACGGAAAACAACAGTGTGAAAAGAATACAGCGAATTGTCAACGACACATATCATAGAGGATGAATGAGAATGGTCTGTGGCCACCAGAAATAACAGGTGGAACAATTTTAATCTAGGGTCAAATCCAGACTTTGGTGGAAGCTGGAGAAAAGGAACACCAGTCAGTAATTAGACAGTACATAAAAAGGAGAAAGAAGTGAAAAGCAAAGCAGAAGTTGATTACAGGAATAAACTTCCCTTTTTAATCTGGGAGATGATGCAGGGCTGGATTGTGGGAGAAAAGATCCAAAGAACACGTGAAGGAGGAAGCTAGAAAGAATAAAGGAGAAAGAACATAACATGACCTTTTATTGTCTTTAACACCTTCAGAGTCCTGCAACCCAGCTACGCTTTCACAGTAAAACAGTTCTGCTGTGGGGCGGGGAGCGAGGTGTATGGCACTTTACAGAAGCATCTACAGAAGAACAGTGTGCAGGAACAGGCAAAAGGAAATATTGTTTGCTTAAGTGCACACAGAAAGTCCTTGTCCTTAGTGTCATACAGCACATTTAATCTCACTGGCATCCTTCACAAGATTCATAGGTCTTTAAAAAACAGTTAATGTTCTTTTGAAGTCTTAGCAACTCCGGTTTTTTGTTTGTTTTTTTGGTTGGTTGGTTTTTGTTGTTTGGTTTTTTTTTTAACTGTAGACAACTCTGACACTATTGATGAATTATCATTACTAAAGCCCAAAAGCACAGTTATTTTATGGTAAATAGTGCCAAATGTTACTTCTGATTATGGAAGGAGAAAGTAAAAACCAACTGCTTTAATATCTGTTAAAACTTTCAATAGAAGATTTTAATTTAACAGACTGATTTAGGTATGGCCACACTAATTACCACAGGTAAAGAGGTGCATGGCAATTCTTCAGTGGCACTGACCACACATGTTCTTGCCCCACAGTAAGGTGAAATGAACAGAAACAGATTTACCATAACTGCCCTTCTAGTAGGTGAGCTATACTGAATTTGCCACGGGGTAAAACAACATGCATATAGCTAACGCACATAATTTCAAAGCATAAGTATTCATCACTATTCTTGCACATATTAGACCACTCAGTATCAGGTCATTGACACCTGGAAACTAGTAGTGCATATCGTAAAAATAAGTCTGATTTATAATGCAAAATCCTTTTCTACACAGCAAATACAAAGTTCTGTTACAAGTAAATCAGCTGAATATACCACAAAATTAAATAGCTACACAAATATTTCAAAGAGACTTAACTCCCACAGAGAAACAGATGGGAAACACCATTTCATCACGTGCCAAAAGCAATTGCCAACTATCATCGTGCTAAACTACAAGATCAAGTTTTTAACATAAGTTCCACTTGCCATTTTCCTCATTTTTATCTCAGTCATGTGTGTAAGTATGGACACTTTTTATCATTGCATCTATTAGGCAAATACAGTTTTGAAACGACCTTTGTCAAAGAAAAGGTATGAAATCCAACATTGGAGAAAGATTATTAGTAACTAATACCCAGAAGCGAAAGCCACAATACCAGGATTCTGGTACTGTCTCTGACAGTGACATCTTCTCTCATATGGGAATAACATTTAACTTCCTCACATACAATATGAGACAATAACCTCATTTAAAAAAAAATCACTCACTGCTACTTCACAATTATTTTATTGAGATAC